GTAATGGTATGCATCTTGTAGTGATCGGCCACTTCGATTTCGAGCATCCCTTGTAAGCACCGCCTCCCCGGACCACTGGTACCAACGATGTACAATGCTAGGGCGAAATGACCAGCAGTCCGCAGAGGCGACGCCTAATTGAGGTATTTGTTTCTCTACCCAGTTCATATTATTGTCACGGGCGTAAACTAAGATATTATCACTACCTTGTTCTGGGTTAACATCTCTTCTCTTTGCAAAATATCTGGCAAAATAAAACAAGTAGCAGGTTTCAACGCAAAGGGCTGTGTTGTTTCCAATTGTTATCGTCGGCGCGGAAGCGCTACAGCTTATAAATTTCTTTCTAGGTACCGCGATGCTCGCAATACAATACGGCGTGAATATGTACTACCAGATTTTTGTCGCTTGTCGCGAGGGTATCTGAGAGATCCTTCACAAACGGCCAAATCTTCGCAACCGGAGGATGCACCTCAAGCCATTACTTTGAACCGAGAACGTTTTGCACTACCCGAACTTCTGTTTCAGTGAGTTTCTGATTGTTTTGTTAAAATTCACTTTTCTTCGCACTGTATGTTACTTTGAAAGTTCCAGCCCCTCAGACATTGGCCTGAACCAAATGGGTGTCGTCGAGGCAGTCGTTGAATCACTTTCAAGATGCCCTATGAATCTCAGAGCGGCATTAGTGCAAAACATATCTCTAGTGGGAGGATGCACGCTGTTTCCGGGATTCAGGGAACGATTGTGAGTGTTTTGTGTTCACAAATCTTTAAAGTATAATTTGTTTGTGCTACAGTTTCACTGACTTGCGGTCGTATATGGACGTTGACTGGTGCGTAAATCTTGCTGATGTTTCCAATCCAATCACCCACGCATGGTCATGTGCAACAGCTGCATTCACTGGAGATATGGCGACAGAAGATCAACTCTTCGTCACAAGAGATGAATGGAATGAACACGGTGAGGAGATCCTGCACAAGAAGTTTCTCAACTTTTTGGACTTCGAATCAGAAGAGGCAGAGGAAGCGTCTGACGAACCAAATGAATAGTTTTTTTT